CAACCCAGGCCCACTTGACAGGTTCCAGACTGTAATGAGCACATGAGCTGAACTGGGGCAAAGGTATTCTCCTTCCTGCTAACAAAGTCCTCATGACAGGCAGTAATATTGGGGTCGAATAAGGAAGCTTCAAACTGTTGCGCCTTGGTGTGGGATGTTTCCCAGCTGAGGGCTAGGGGCTGCAACAACTGCAATCTCTTGGGGTGGCTGGGGGGACACATCAACTCACACAAAGGGCTGCCCTGCCCACTGTCTGATCTGATCATGAGTCCTGCCTCCCAGACATGCCTGAGAGGGAACCAAAATCCCCAATAACCCTGCTCAATCTGGATGATTCAGCCCTCAAACTGCCATCATTTCTCCAGATGAAATGCAACCTTGTGCCCATTAGACTCAACATGCCACCATGGGTCTGGTAATTCCTTTGCTATGTGATGTTGATAATTATCTAATCTTTTCAGTAACCCAGAGCCAGGTACTCACATACCCATTCTTCAGAGGAAGAAACAGAGATTCCTCTTAATAAATCACCCTGTGTCACAGAGCAAAGAGGCTAAAAAACAGGTTTAAAATCCAGGTTTGGATGACCCCAAACCCACACGCATGCCACTGCAGTGCATGCTGGAGGGAGGTTTTCTGGGCTGGAGACTTGGGGAAAGGTAGAGATTTTTGCAAGTTCTTTCTTGGGGACCCAGCATAGAAGTGTGCTATCAACCTTGTGGTTTCTAGGCCACTTCCTGCTATGTGGCAGGGTTAGAAGAGGTGCTGAGGATGTCTCTGCGCTCCCATGCACTCACAAGGATGGGGCAGTTTTTCTTGTAAGATGTTTTATTTTCTGTGGAGAGAGTCTGCTTTTTCTCCCGAGATCGGACGAGATCGGGCGTGCTGAGGGCAGTATGGCCATAGACTGAGGAGAACCTTCTTTTTCTGACAGCCACTTTCTTCCCAAAGCTTAGAATGCGACTGCCTCTCTTTTTCTTTTTTATTTTAAAGAGGCTAAAAAAAATAACAAAATAGCAACAACATAGACAGAAACAATAAAAATGATACAGGGTTTCAAATCAAAATGATAAGGATTAGCAGTGGTTGTTGTACTACATATTGTTATCTTCAACGAACTTGCTCAGATTACCAGGTGTAAAACTTTCAGCAAAAAAGTGTTTGGCTGCCCCACCCCTCTGCAGTTCAAATATGCAAAACATCTGCTTCTATTTTATTTGTTTGCTTTCAGCAAAATATCAAAGGTGCTTGTGAATTAAATAGGAGGCAAAATATCTTATAAACTACAACAGCCAAGTACCTGGGCAACCCAAAAACATTTTGGATGTTTAAGTGTTTCTGGATGTATAGAAAATTTGTGTGATAAAGGTGCAGTTATAATACTTCTTATTCCTCATGACGATTTGGGAACTTTTTTTTTTCTTGCAGTACCGGGGATCAAACTCACGACCTTGTGCTTGCCAGGCAGGCACTTATGCCACTGAGCTATATGCCCAGCCTTGGGAACTATTTTTAAAAGTGAAAAGCTTATTGGGATGGCACTTAGCAAAATCACAACATGTTCTTACAAAAGAATAACAGAGTGTAGAGTATCTTCTGGATCTCCACCTGAATGAATAAAATACAGCCAAAAGACAGAAGAAACCCATCTCTGCAGACAGCTTTAGCTTTGATAGCATTCAGAGAAAAAGGAAGCAGCAGGACTACAGCCCAACATACTGTGCGGTTGAGATCAGTCTTAAAGGCAGCAGCGTTAAACAAGACAATTCCACCACCTGAAGTCTTTTTTATTTGTTTTGGCTTTTATTTTTTGTTTTTTGGGACAGGGTCTCACTATGTGGTCCAGCCTGACCCTGAACACACAGTTCTCCTGCCTTACCCTCCAAGGCACTGGATTTATAGGCATGCATTACTGCACACTGCTGAAATCTTACTTTACATTTGTTTGCTGACTTTTTGTGATAGCTCATTTTGTGTGTGAGTAAAAATTTGCTGTAATAAAACACATGTCTGAAGTGTACCTGCAGGAAAGTCAACAAATGTGAGTGCCTGTTTGTTCAAACCCTTATCAAGGCATAGGGAATTGCCATCACCCCAGAGTCAGCTGCTATGCTGGCGTGGGAGATTAGTTTTCCCAATTTTGAGGTTTTCTATAGATGGGTTCATACACACATAGTTTTTCTGTAAGGCTTCCTTGGCTCCGGATAGTCTGTTTCCATTCATTGTTATCCGTGTTGCATGTATCATTAGTCCATTCCTTTATGAGACTTCTACAGTTTGAAGTTGGTTGTTTCTTTTTTTACTTTGGGGGTTTTTCTTGGAGGGCAACCTATTGATGGATAGTTAGCTGTTTCCAGGATTTTTCCCAGGTACAGTTGCTAAGAATATTGTTGAACAAGTCTTCCTTTGGGCACATGTCTTCATTTTTCTGGAACAAATGGTCCTAGGGGATGTAAACATTTAGTTTTATGAGAAATCTCCTGGTGCTGCTCCTGGACGGTTGCACCCTTTACACCTCTGCCATCAACATTTGAGGGTGTGTTTTTGCTCCTACCAGTTGTTATCGTGGCATCTCATTTTGGTTTTAATTTGCATTTCTCTGATGACTGATGACTTTGAGCACTTTACAGTTCTCTGATAGCCAAGCGTACATCCTTCTTTGTGGAGTGATTGTTGAAATCTACACTCATTTTTAAAAATTGGGTTGTCATTTTAGTGTTGACTTGCGGACAGTCTTTGCATACCTTTACACACACACACACACACACACACACACGTGAACACACTTCTCCCTCCCCCCGGAGTGAGGCTAGTCACTTGATCTTCTTCTCTGTCTTTCTGTCCAAAACACTGCCAGGTATCTCTGCTTTCGAGCTTTGCCCTGGCATGTAGTAAGAGCTCAAGAAATACTCAAAGATCAGGGAAAGAACAGATGAACTGAGTTTTGGACTTGATATTCAGACACCATATTCTTGAATGTGGTGGCACAAGAAAGTGAAAATGGCAAAGGAAATAGAGAAAAGGGAAAATTAAATGTTACTTTTGAACCCTACAGTGTATTTGACCCTGAACATGCAGAAGACCTTCAGGAGATTTGTTCACCCAGGAGCCTGGTAGACTGTCTCATGGATACTGCAGAGTAATTTGTCCCCATTTATAGACACTGCTGTTTAACCCCTGCCTTCTGTACTGTGTCTCCACCACTCCAAGACCTTACACTCACAAAGCCCCGACGAAATGTGCACGTTGGCGGGTTTTAGGTATCATCACTGCTAATCCCACTGTGCTTTCAACCACTTTCATCTTGGCCCCAGTAATGCCCACTCCTGTTAACTGCCCCAGTGGTGAGCTTGCCTCAGTAGCAGGCCTGCCCAAGAGGTGTGTCTGTCGCTCTTACTTCCCCAAGGAGCTCTTGGCCCCTCGTTTTGAAGCCATTTACCGGGTCTCAACCATTTGGCTCCGGCCTCTGCGGTTAAGCGTCTGCAGGGAGTAACAGGCACTGGCATCCACATTCGCAGAGCACTGTGCCATTCACAGAGCACATTCAAACCCATTATCTCGTCCCAGCCACCGCATAGTCCTGAGTGGAGCCCTTTTTGTCTTCCCCAAATGAGGTGGCAAAAAGGTGAGCCAACTTGCTCCAGAAAATAAATCTTGCCCTTGTATAGCCAGAGGGTTTTTTTTTTTTCAATATCCTCCAGGTCTTGTTCAAAAATTACACTTTCTTAACTCTGGCCATGTACATATGTGTTGTTTAAGAGGCCTGTAGATTTTTACAGTTTAGAAACCTGGGTTATATCTACTGTTAGAAATTCAGTTACCACACTGTAGATAGATAGATAGATAGATAGAGATATGGTAGTTCCCAACCTGTTTATTTAACCCCTTGGATCACATATTTTTTAAAAGTTCATCGAAAACTGTATTTGCCTTATTTTATCTTTTTTTCATCAGACATTGCTGTAAAGTCTGAATTTAGAATAAGGACCAGATTGTTACTTCACTAGGATCATTTTATTACAACCAAATACTACAAACATTTGATATTTGAATTAGACTCCAAGCTTCCAAACTGACCATTTTTATTTCTGATGAATGATTCTGTTTGAAAAATTAGAAAGTTCATACCTCCCCAGAGAAAGTGGCCGCAAAGTTTAGTTCTTGTGAGGAAGTAGCCCTTTGTGTTCAGGACTAAACCCTTCCCTGGTGCTGCTGTTTGGGTGGTTTTAATTGTAACCCTTAGCCCTAGGACTGGGCTTCTCCCAGATCCACAGAGTGGGCTCAACCAGCACACCACACGATTTTCTCAGCTCTGGGAAATTAGTGCTGTCCCATGTTCTAGACCTTCAGTCTTAGGGAGAGCATGCGTTTATAGAAACAGAGACAGTTTTCTGAGCACCACCTAAGGTACACAGCTTAAAATGCCATGAAAGCAGAACTCTCACATAGCATCAAAATAATCAGAGTTATAATCAGAGTTTCAGAGGAGTATGACAGATATTCTAATAAGGCAATGTTTGTTTGTAAGTTAGCTTACATTAATTGTAAAATTAACAGCTATTATTCTGTTTGCCAATTATAAAAGAGGAGATGCAGTTGCAGAAAACTATGAATATAAGCTGTGGTTGCATTTATAATTTTAGTTGTGAAGCAGTTTGTGTTGCATGAACCAATGAAATATTATACAGTACTTGAAAAATAATTATTTCATGGGAACAGACTTTTTATGACTCATGGTAAGAGAAAGGAACAGAATAAAGAAAGTCATTGAACATCCTCCCAGCAATGAAAATATATGCATGTAACTCATGGCTCAGGGTAATCCGAGAAATGAAAAAAATTTATATTAGGAAGGACAAGGTTGAATCTTTTTTAAAATGCATTTCACAGAAGTTGTTACATACCAGCTTTTCAATCAAAGAGTTAAAATGGATTTGTATTGTTCCAGTAAAGAATCTGTAGTTTATTAATCAAATATTACTCTTGGTCCTGTTTTGTAGGAGATCCAACAGAAATCCACCAATGTAGTCTATCAGGCCCACCATGTAAGCAGGAGTAAGAGAGGGCAAGTGGTCGGAACAAGAGGCGGATTCCGAGGATGCACTGTTTGGCTGACAGGTAGGTGTGACCGGCTGAGATTATTCACACACACACATGCACACACATGCACATACATGGGGCACACACTATATCATATTAGCATATCACATGAGCAATATATATATGTTAATTGAAAAGGGAATGTGATGCACAATTTTAAGAAGCTGAGTGTAACATATTACACACAGTACGTTTTCATTAACCACAAGGAGGCTGAGAGCTGTGGTAGAAAATTTAGATGTTAGTCCTAATCCCGCTATCAATGAGAAACGGATTAAAGGTCTGACTCCAGGAATACAGCCTCATGGAGCCATAGAAAGCCCCTACTTGCCGGTGTTCTCCTCTCTGGCAGGACAGGATAGGACAGGTTGAGTGTGACACCTTTCAGTAATTCTCATATTCCTCCTTAAATAAACATACCTGGGAGGGATGAGTAGAGCTTTCCTAATTAGATGCAAAGCATTTGGCAGTCCATAGGCTTGGGGTGTTTAGACCTACTCTTTTTATTTTCTGATGTTTTGACATCTAGAAGACTATTTCCTTACCGTAAACAAACATAACTGTAAGAATCTTTACAAGAAGGAAAACTTGCTGAGTACGGTGCTACACGCCTAAAATCCCAGCACTGAGGCAGGAGGATCTCTGCAAGTCTGATGCCAGCCTAGGCTACAAAGTGAGTTTAAGGCCAGGCCAGCCTGAACCGCATAGTGAAGCCCTATCTCAAAAAGAAAACTAAATAAATAAAAAAAGGACAAAAATTGGAGATTTCCACTTGGCTGAGCCTACAGAAAAAACAACAAACAAAAAACCCTCAGTTCTACTGATGACCCAAGGATCTTCTTCTCTAGTGTTTTTATAGCTGCAGAATGTCAAAGCTAAATGTTAGTGACAGAACTGAAATTAGATAGAACCTAAGATGCCCCAAACCCTTGTCCAGAGCACAAGGTGCATACTCAAGCTATGAAAATATACACGTGTAGCTAGTGGGTCAGGGTAATCTGTGAAAATGAAAACAATTCACATTAGGAGGGACAAGATTGAGTCTTTCTTTTATGAAATATGTTTCACAGAAGTTGTTGCATACCAGCTCCAAGTATGAGGTAGAAGACTGCTTCCACGGAATGAGTCTAACATACCTAGACTCAAAGGAAGAAACCAAATTCCTTTCATAGACACCACTTTTCCAAAAGCAAGGAGCCCAGTTGCAAAAATATGTTTAGCCAGGTTATGGAAAGGGGTAGGTGTTATCATCTGCTCACCAAGGTGGATGTATTTTAACCTGAGGAGAATGCTAAGGAATATGGCAGGTAGGGACCTGCTTTGCATCTTTTGTTATTCTGAGTCTTTTCCCTTCCTGTCCAAATTAGCCTTTTTCTTTTTATGGTTTTCAAGTGTCTTTCTGGTGTCTTTGTTTTCCCGAGGCTCCTGGAAAACAGCTCTCTCCAGCCTGTAGGGTGAGGACAGACAGGGGCAAAGTGCCCGTTGTGTTCCAGTACACAGCACTGGCCTGTCATTATTCCTCAGATGTTTCCCCACCACCCTCCAAGAGGTGTGATTTGTAGCAGCAGGTACAGCTGTGTTCCAGAAGTCTCCCTCTGGTTACATGTTTGGCTTCATGTGGTATTTACCCATGAAAACGACTTTTGTGCTGGGACATGCACATGAAGTCCATTTTCCTTGATCGGCACTCCCTTGAAAAGAAAAAAAAAGAAAGGGGGGAGATGTAAAGGGCACAATTCCGTTGTCTTTTTTTATTCTTCAAAATCCCTTTGTTATCATTTATATTTTATTCTTATATTTCAGAGGTAGGCTATTGACCAAAGAGGCCAGAAGAAATAAAAATTTCAAATCCAGGGATTCAGATCGAATCCCAGCTCAACCTACACTAGCTGTGTGACTTTGGATAAGCCAGTTAATCTCTCTAAGCCTCAGGTTCCTTATTCTTAGAATGAGCATCAGGATTAGTACCTGTCTTATGGAGGTGTAAGTAGAATGAAATGAAATAAAGCAGCAATGCACTTAGCACAGTGCCTGTAATAAAGTAATAAAGTCCTTAGTAAATGTAATTACTGTTACCCTTATGTATGGAAATAATTGTGCCAACAGTCTAGTTAAATACCACTACTATGATTTAGCTCTTTGTTTTCTGAAAGATGAATGAAATTTCAATCACTTCTCTCGTATTTCTAACACAAGACAACATATAGAGATTCAAGATTCGGATTTTCCTTACCCCTCAACCTGACAGAAATTCTAAGAGGAATTCTCCACCCAAGTCTTTCTTCAAGTAAAACTGAATAAAATAACCTGACAACATATTAACATATTGATGTAACAAATTGACAACATCTTTTACAATGATTTACCAAAGACTGTCAACATCCTTAATTAGTCATTTCTTACTTTCCTCCGTCAAGCCTAAGGACAGGGCTTTAAAACTTATTTTTTCCCCCAGTTTCCTTTCCTCTCTGTCCTTTGTACCTGTTTTTCTCTTACTCCTTTCCCCTTTTTCCTTTTTCCTCCTTCTGTCTTCTCTGTATTAATCTCTTGGCTTTTTTTATTTCCCTCCGAACTTTCCCATTTCCATTCTGGGTGTGTTTGACAGGGGCTTGGCACCTTCGAATATCCTGCTGGTTCAGAAATCCTCAGGACAAGTGAATTTTAGTGTACAAGTTTTCTAGGGTTCTTAGATTGTGGGCTTAGAACTAATTTTGGCAGCTTGCATTTTTTTCCCTTTTCCCATATGTGCTCCCTTATCTAGAAATTATCAAGTGTGTTTCCACTCACTGTACTTGGAGAGCATGGTGGAAGGCACACAATAACTATATTCTCACGTAAAGATCCTGAGGAGTCTAAAAGTATACACACTCTGAAGACCTCTAAATACTTTACTGCCTAATCAAGGTGACTCTCCAGCTTCAGGTTTTAAGTCATTTTCAAAAAATTGAGGAACCAAAAGAATAGCATGCAGGCTTTGATGGCAGATGCTTATGCAGTGACATCAACAAGGGAGGTGGGCTTGCCAGACCCGGTCTTTCCTCGACCTCCTCTCCTCTGCCTGGTTTCCGCCATGTGATCTGAGACCACCATTTCCATGTCTTTGATTTTTCAAGAGAGGCCAGAATATGGGTTTGTACAACTTTCTAATCTTTTTTTTTTTTTTTTTTTTGTTTTTTTTTGTTTTTTCTCCGGTACCGGGAACCGAACTCACGACCTTGCGCTTGCCAGGCAGGCGCTTTTGCCGCTGAGCTAAATCCCCAGCCCCCCAACTTTCTAATCTTTGAAACACTCTGTAGGCAAAAGACAGCACAGCAATGATCAGCCGTGCCCCTCCCCCAGGTGTATTTATTTACTTCACTTACTGTGCGAGGCTATAGTCCTAACAGGAGACGGTTATTTCAAAACTTGAAATAAATGCAAATAGTTTGCTTATAATTAACTTTTTTCTAGATTTAAATAATTTTGGTCTAAGATTAATCAAACGATTGGAGTCAAGTTTAGTTACACTAAAAGTACCAGATTAGTTCAGGATTTATTGACTTGAGCAACTGGGGGCAATGCCGATCTCTGTTGCCCGATCTGGCAGGTCTTTCCGGTGCTGGGAAAACAACAATAAGTTTTGCTCTGGAAGAATACCTCGTCTCCCACGCCATCCCATGCTACTCCCTGGATGGAGACAATGTCCGTCATGGCCTTAACAAAAATCTTGGATTCTCTCCTGGGGACCGAGAGGAAAATATCCGCCGGATTGCCGAGGTGGCCAAGCTGTTTGCCGACGCTGGTCTGGTCTGCATTACCAGCTTCATTTCTCCGTTCGCAAAGGTAGAAGGATTTGGCACTGCCTGTAATTCTCACAGCTGCTGAGGACAGAACTGGGGTAAAGGGGAAGGTGCAGAGCAATATTATACTTTTAATTTCCCTATCCATCCTCCCCTCCCCAGAGTGCATCCTCACTTCCTCTGTTTACTGTTGGTTATTTAAAGAGAGCTCATCTCCAGAGGTCAGGACTTCGGTTGACATAAACCCTTTCACGTTCCCAATTATAGGCGACACTTGGTTAGAGTTGAAGGAAAAATTACGCAAGAAGAGCTGTAAAGCTCTGTAATTTCAGTTATGTAAAAAAGAATGTTCAGCTCATCAAAGAAAAGAACAGCTCACCGGGAGGCATTGGGTTATATGTATTTAAGGGGCCTTCGCTAAGGTGGAGTGTCACTCTTGTCTCAAAACTAGAAATTTCTGGGAGTTACAGATAGCGTGCTGTGTGCTTCGAACACATCTTTTGAAAGAAATCCTCTCATGTTGCCAGTGCTGTCCTGCTAAGAGGTGCTGGTTTTGGAGATTTCTTTAAAAGGCTCTTTTTTAGGGGGTTGGGGAATGCTTGAGATTGAACCCAGGCCCTTTGCACTAAGCCGCATTCCCAGCCCTTTGAATTTTTTATTTTGAGACAGGGTATTGCTAAGTCACTAAATGCCCCACGCTGGGCTCAAAACATGATCCTCTTGCCTCAGCCTCCTAGAATGCTGGAATTACAGGTGTGCAATCCCATACCGGACTGAAACATTTGAGAGAGTTGCGTTCAACAACATGAGATGTATTTTCTAAAAGGACTCTGCAAAATACAAACCCCAGTGTTATCTCAGGGGTATCCAGCCCCACAGTACCCATGTTTAGTGATAAAGAAATTTTGCCTTAATCCATTTTCTGTTGCTATAACAAAATACTACCGACTGGGTAATTAATAAAGAATAGAGGTTTATTTGGCTCATGAACTTGAAGGTTGAGAAGCACAAGAGCATGGCACAATTATCTGCTTGGCGTCTGGTAAGGGATTTCTGGCTGTATCTTAACACGGTGATCTCATGACAAGACAAAGCAAGAGGCCTGTGCTGGGTTGTTTTTCCCAGCTACGGGGGTAGGGGGTTCACCCTAATGACCATATCTAGTTTTAATCATTTCTCAAAGAGTCTGTCTCCAAATACCCACAGCACATGAGTTTGACATTAAGCTTCCAGTGCATGAGATCCGGAGCACACATGCAAAACTTCACATACCTCTTTTCACATCCTTACACATACTGCTTTTCAGGATCGAGAAAATGCCCGCAAAATCCACGAATCAGCAGGACTGCCATTCTTTGAAGTATTTGTCGATGCACCTTTAAATATTTGCGAAAGCAGAGATGTAAAGGGCCTGTACAAGCGGGCCCGAGCTGGGGAGATTAAAGGTACGACAACTGACTCTTTTATCCAAAATTGCCTGTATTACATATATAACTTCTTATTGATTCATAACGTATTCGATATGCCCATGGGCTTATTACAACGTAGGTTTTCTCTTTCAAGAACTGCCGCCTTAGCTGTAGAATGGTCTTTGTAGGAGACTCTTGGGTGGGGGGATTTCAGAGTTTTCCCTCCTGCTTTTCTTTTCAGTTCCAATCAGCTGTAGAGGGCTTGGACTTTGCTAGTTATTGTTGATAATTTGGGGCTTTCTATGTTGAAAATACAACTGTGTATTTTCTTACCTTTAGCAAGGAGTCGAAGATGGCTGTTTGTCCTTTTTGGTTGTAACTGGAACTCTTAGTACATATTATTCCTCCATGTGTAATGTCTCACTGATTAGAAAAAAAAGGTTCTGTAGGCACAGATGTGGTTTCCCCCTCGTGTCTTGCAGGATTTACAGGTATTGATTCTGATTATGAGAAGCCTGAAACTCCTGAGTGTGTGCTTAAAACCAACCTGACTTCCGTGAGTGACTGCGTTCAGCAGGTGGTGGAACTTCTGCAAGAGCAGGTGGGCCGACTGGTTGTCTCTCTTTCCTTTAGTTTAATAAAGTCATAAAAGATAATCTGTGCTTCTTGAATAAAGCATTCTTTTCAGTTTTCATCTGAAGTCATCACTAATTTTGTTTCACTTCAGAATATCTTACCCCATACAATAATCAAAGGGATCCACGAACTTTTTGTGCCAGAAAACAAACTCGATCAAGTTCGAGCTGAGGCTGAGTCTCTTCCTTCGCTGTCAATTACCAAGGTAAATGGGTAACAACTAGCCAAAGCCTGTCCTCACAATGCATTTACAGTCACTCATTATAGTAACAAAGGTATGAATAAAGGACATACGATGTTTATGGAGAGATAAACACTTCACCTTTGCCAACATTTTTCTGCCTTTTCTTCGAGCAAATCCCTCGCCTCAAGGCAGCTGATCGTAACATGTGGAGGTGGAGGGCAGACAGGCAGAGTAAAATCTGTCTTTACCTGGGACAGTTTCACATGTAGCTGTCTTCTATCAACAATGCTGATGTGTGGACATCGGACCAAAAATTATTTGCTGGCACTGACTCAGAAAAGAGTGTGTCCAAAACTTAAGTACTTCTTGGGCAATCAAGAAGGAGTTTGGGGGCCTGGGATGTAGCTCTGGCACTCCGCCTGCCTAGCAAATGCCAGGTCCTGAATTCAATTCCTGGTACCCACAAAAAGGGGGTTTGAAGAAGAAAAAGCAACCCTGAAACTCGCATTCTTCCTTTATCAGCAAGAGTTCAGTCTGAGGAAAGAGGAAGACAATTTTGGTGCACCGTTTTTTTGCGTGGAGAATGCAAGATGCAACCCCAGTAAACTGCTTTGTGTGTGGCTTTTTATGGGTCAGGGTTAATTGGGCTACAAGGACATTGAGTCCTTTTGGGGGCTTATTTTTATCCAGCAAAACTTTGGAGATTTTTTAAGATGCAGGATAAATAGGGAACCTGCTTCAGCTATGGAGACCCATAATCTCGTAAGTCATGAACAAACACCCTACCTCAGTAAAATAAGTCCCGAGTTCCAGGCAGATGAGAAGACATTCTGACAATGACAATATTATGTCATTCCAATAGCAGAATAGCCTGCAATATGGAGGACTTCAAAAATCCAATGGTTCATTCTTTTGGTCATAGGGATGACCGGAAAGATTTTAGAGCAATGAACCATGAGCTGGGTTTTAAACTCATGACTGGACTTTTGCAGGTGAAGAGGAGGATGGGTAAGACACAGCCTGAAATGACATGTGTGTTTAAGCTACACGTGGCAAATAGTCTGCAGGTGGAATGGAAGGAGGTGGGAGACGCTCCGTAGGTCCGAGGGGCCAGAACTTGAAAAGCTGTCAGTATTTTAGCAATAATTTTGGATTTTATCTTAGAGTTAGTGGTTTGCTTAGTTCAGCCAAATGATCAATCAGCACATCTTGTGAAAAAATATAACCAAACCAAACTTTTTGTGGAAGAAAAGAATGAATGAACAGTGAATTTTCAACTCAGTTGCACATTATGGGAATAGGTACAGCCTACAATGTTCAAATACATCATTGTAATTTGGTATTTTTAAAACACTCTTCTATAGGAAAGTTAAACTCATCTGACCCTCACATTGGGGCTCAGTGTAACATGTGGGAACACTTAAAACATCAAAGGTTCCACTCTCATCCTCCTGTCAGTTGAATAAGAAAGAATTGTCCTGAGGCCACAGGCCTGCGAAATAGAATTTGTGGAAATAGTCACCTGCTTTCTTTTGTTTTGCAGCTGGATCTCCAGTGGGTCCAAGTTCTGAGTGAAGGCTGGGCCACTCCCCTCAAGGGATTTATGCGGGAGAAGGAGTACTTGCAAACCCTACACTTTGACACTCTGCTGAATGGTATGTTTGCTGTGGTTGTTTGTTAGTCTTTAATATTAAAGCAAAAAGTCTCTTCTAGAAGTTTGCATAGGAACAGAAACCATTAATCTTTGGTTTGTAAATCTTACTGCAAAAATATTTAGCCTATTTACAGTGTGCTCAATTTTATTATGTAAAAGTTTCCATTTTAGCATTCTTTCTGTGCAGAAGTCACTCTCAAAGGATTATTGAATATTTAAAATTAACCACCTGAAGAAAGAGGTTTTCTGAGTCTGTTTCACCTCTACCTGTGCTTTTGTGATCCCGCTCCCTATTCATAAGCATGGCTGCAATCAGAAGCAGCATTGCCCACTGGCTGCTAGTGAGCACCTGGGACAGCTGAGACCCACTTGGCATAGTGACTGACTGACAAGGCACCGCCCATCCTCCAGGTTGTCCTGTCAAGCCGTTTTGTGGCAGCTGCTTCCCTTGGTGGACTCCAAAGTGCCCAAGTTCCTACCTGTGTGGGATGAATAGTAGGGGGACTTCATCCACTAACCTCCAATGGGAATGCATGCTAACACAGCCTTCTGGGCATAGGCTAATGGCTTTTAGAAAACTGACTTGGTCAAGGACAGAAGCATGAGTTATTTAGAAGAATTCCAGACCTGCCTATGTTCCTTTCTAGAACTTACTGAGCTTATCAAATATAACTCATCTAGTTCACGGCTTTGGGGAATTGCTGCCAGTTGGAGAAGGGGTGGTAGTAGAGTCATAGCAAATTTGTAATACTGAACAGGGCTCCCGACCTTGTAGGAGGAAAGACCAAATCAGGTGTTCTCTCTTCTGAAAGATGTCCATGTCCTGGGCTTGTGCCTTTGCCTGGGGTATGGGCCATGAAGCCAGAATTAGAACTCAAAGCCTGTCAGAATGGACCCTCTTCCCTTTTCCTTGTGTGACTGTTCATGCTGTACAACCCGAGGCCTTCATTCTCAGGTTAAACAACATTCCCCCAAAACACAGCTTGCCTCAACAATAATAACATTATATTCAACATTTCTCTATTTTCAAAGCATCTTCTCAGATATTATTTCATTTGAGCCTTACTCAGTGAAACATAAAGAGACAACTAGTAAACACACAACTATTATTATCCACTTTACAGATGAGAAAAATACCTTAGGTTAAGGGATTTGCTTCAGTTTATATCATTAATAAGTGAAGACCCAAGATCAGGGTCCATAATTCCCTGATTGCCTGCCCAGCATTCATTCTACACCCAGCCACTATCCTGATGTCCTTTCCAATAGAATGGAAAAGGTCTGGATATGTACACAGGGAAGGCTGACATTTGTCTTGATGTGTTGATTCTGACATGGGCTATGTCAAGTAAATATTGCTGGACTCAGCAGCCAGCCATGAGTAAGGGGTGGACTGTGCACATGCGAACTACAGCCGTGGCCATTAGATAAGGGAACTGCAAGAGAAGAGTGGGACTTATTGCAGAGAGTGCTGTTGACCTTTAATAAGTATTTGCTCCATGAAGAAAAAGACCAGCATGGTGGATATGATTGCAGAGATCAACGTTAAAATCAGAGGTTCTTAGCCCGGAAACTAAGACTTCAGGTTGGGGGAACAGTAAACATCCCAGGTACACCAAAGTGGTTGGCCTTTTGAGAAGGGAAGAAGAGAGCATTTTCCTGGGTTAAGAGTTTATAGCGTTTGATGAATTTTTAAGAGAATCTGTGGCCCAAGTGACAAAGAACCACTAATGCAGACAGTCCATCTGGATAATTTAGGCAAAATCTTTCTCCTTCCCTCTCACAACATTTCCATTTCATTCATGGGCAAAACATACTGATTTTTTGAATCTCTAATTTGGTGCTCACTATCATGAGGTGGATGAAATGCTTACCATTGTTCCACTTCCTGTGTAATCCGGATTTGTGTCCCAAAGCTCCCAGTCTGGGGGCCTGAATGAGCTCACTTTCCCCATTACTACTTGAGTTCCCTGGTTTGAAGACCCTATCTGCTCATATGAAGTACCAGTTCTTTCCATAGCCTAAGCCCAGGTATCTGTTGGAGGCCCCAGGGTATGTGAGAGTCCACAGTTGTACAGCTGCTGCTGAGTCACTCAGCCACTAAACTTCTGGTGGGGCAATGGCAGTCTATGGACTCTTTCTTCAGTGGGAAGGAGGATGTTCCCTTCCTCTGTATCCATCTCAGTTGAAGACCGTAGGTGGCTGCTTGAGTCCCACAGCATTATTATTGTAATCTGTATGGATAGCTTTATTCTGTGTCTCCAGTGTGGCTACACCAGGAGGAGTTCAACACCAGATGTTATGTATTTCCATAAGCCCTATCCCCTTACATCCTGAAAGCTCTGCTGATGGGACTTTCTATAAGACTCCTTTTCTCCTTATGAGAACTCTCTGCAGGCTGCACCATCTGCCTCTGCAACCAGAGCCCACAATCAGGATTCAAAGCTCTGCACCTACCTGCTAGAAGCCTCCTCAGTTCTTCTATGGATCAATTGATAAAAACAGACCTCAGGAAAATGGTGTCCTGCCTCCCTCTACCACGCTTTGTATCTCAATTTAGTTTTGGCCTAAGTAGAAGCAGAATGTCATGATGGTTAAGAGCATGAGAAGCAAAGCCAAACTGGCTGGGTTTGTATGTAGTGATTAGCTGTGAACCTGGGCCAAATCAATTAATTTCCTGGGCTTAGTTCCCTCATCTGTAATAGGGAGGTTAAAGCACCCATCTCACTGGCATACTGAAAGTTTAAAAGAACCTCCAGTCCAATAGTAAATGTTTCATGAATGTTAGTTATTAGCATGAACAAACCCCAAGTGCACACAGTTGAAAGAACTTGGAGTCTTGAAGTAACCAACTGACTTTCCACAGTCACCTCAGTTTGAAGTAGCACAGATAAGAAGGTCATCGACCAGCAACAAATTCTTCTTGATTGTGGCATATGCCAGGGATGACCTTGCTGCCAGGGACAAAGCGGTTGCAAGGACAGATGTGTGCCTAGTGGACATGCAGTGCAGCTCCTCCTCTGACCTCAAGCATTGGTTTCTTCACGTCCCATCAGTGATTGTGCAACTTCATTTTAAGCCAAAGAACTTTCTGGTGAAATCCAAGGTAACTTATCTAACAGATGAAATGGAACTGCTTCCCTAGAATGGAGGCTTGTTCTGCTTCTTCCTGGACAGCAGCAACTTGGGGTGCTGGAGAACACTGATGGGAACACCCTGTTTATGCCATGTCGGAGTCTCCTGGAATTACCTGGCTTAACTGATGGCTTTTGGGCCAAGGACACAGAGTGAAATTTTGAAGGAAACATACATATATATATGTATATATATACATATACATATACATATATATATGAAGGTGGGACAACATATCATTTGCATAGATAGTGTTTGATATTAACCAATTCATGAAGGTTTGAGATACATCATTGAAAAATTGAAACGTTTTGTGTAGCCACAGGTACATGGCCACTTTTGTCTATCATCAAACAGCTACAAATTTCTCAGTCACCTACAATTGGCAAGCAACATTTTTTAATTCTCACCATATTTGCTAAAAAATACTTTGTTAGTTTTAACTTTCTCAGAGGTTCACATTTTCCCCCAACTTAAGAATAGGTCTGTCCTCTCAGCCCAAAAACAAAATAAATAAACCAAAACCAAAAACCCAAATCATTTGTTAGTGTTTCTGTAGAGTATGAATTATTCTGTATATTATTCAAGGACCAAGTTTCATATCATATCAATGTATTATTTCACTTTATCTCTCACTGGAAATATAGTTCCGGGGTTGTTACAGACACTCCTGTCATAAATGTTGTATGCAGCTGGGTGTGGTGGCACACAACTCTAATCACAGCACTTAAAAGCTGAGGCAGAAGGGTTGCCGTGAGTTTGAGGCCAGCCTGGGCCATATATCAAGTTTAAGGTCAGCCTAAACTACATAGTAAGACCTTATCTCAAAAAAATTAAAATAAAGGTAGCATATAAATTTAAAAGTGAAACATCAAGTATATGTTTACTGATGGATTCCAAGTGAGATCAAAACATGGCGGCCTTATGAGGCTCCATCACTTCATGGCAAGTCTCCTGCGGCTGTGACACTCCAGGCAGGGCACCAGGGTGTTCCAGGGGTATCCCCAGTACTTACTAAGCACAAGAGACTCTGGAGTTCAAAGTAGGTATTCCCACTTACTCTGGATAGCAGCACTATGAAGATATTTTGTCCACATGAAGAATGAAGTGTTGAAAAGGTTGAATAACTTACTTGAAGTTTGAATTCAAATCCAGGTTATCTTGGCTCTAATACTTTCCTCTGAACATCTGGGATCCTGGGATGGTTCCGGGCAGTTTGTTTCTGTACCCTCCCAAAGTTGGGTTCGGAAGTCATTTGACAGTGGTTGTAACATTACTTGTTTACAAGAGGTACTTTCTTGCCGGCATTAGAGAGGCCATTGATGTATGTTACAGTTATTTTAAAACAGTCATCTGAACAATGCTTTTGGAGTGTGTGGAACAATATTTCATATAAATTCTGATTTTGCTATGTTTTAGTGTCATTTACTCTATTTTAAAAATAGCATAACAAAGAGCTTTACATTTGTAAATTATAAAGTGTCATAAAAGGAGCTTGTTCTTTGATACTGTTGCTTTGAGATTATTTTTGTGGGCAGCTGAAAACATGTTTCTTAATTGTGTTTCTATTTCTCCAGGCATGGTCCTTCCTGGTATGTACTTCAACTTCCAAGTAGCTCAATTATTATAATTACATATGTTACATTAATTTAAAATGGCTAAAGATATAACTAAAAATAATCTAAATTAACCAGTTGGAATCATTATCAATTCATGATTCAACCAGTTATAGTAGAATAATACTATAATTTCTGTTGACTGACATGTAAATAATAGGAAATTTCTGGATCAGATGAAGTTATCATTCATAATGTTGTGTTGATCAATAAAATTAAATTTGTTTCTAAATTATTATTGCACATTTTGTTCCTGAGCTCTTTTAAATTTATGATCCTCTCACAATGACTGTTAATCCTTTTAAAACTTTAGTTTCACAAAAATGTGGGAAAATTTTTTCTATCACATTTATACAATGTCCTTAACTGATGAAAGGATAAATCCACTTCGGATGCAATTTCAAGTGGGTTCACCTGGTTGGATTGTGTATGACTGTGCTTCCTTTGTTTGAAATGTGTGATTATGCATGACTTTAATTTTAAACTATCATAATGATAGTTGTGGAATAAATATATAAATGGGAATAAATATATATTTCCTGTGACTGTTAACTTCTGTGGTACACCAGAATTAAGAGGTAAAATTCTGGAGATATCATTTATCACTGCTATTGTTTTCATTATTGTTGGTTTTCCCTTAAAAAGCCTAGTTATGCAGTAAAGATTAATTTAGTGTTTGCATAGAAACAGTCTATGCAATGAATGAGCAGTTGTACAAGGCTAAAACAAAAGGTTTGGAAATTATTAAAGTAAAAGAGAAATTAGTCAACTAACAGGAATTTATCCGCTGCACTTTCCATGGTTAAAAAAACCACAATAGTCTTCTATAATGAGACATACTACAATCAAATAAACAACACCATTCCCACCTGAGGCGAAACACACAAAGGAAAAGGCTAGAAGTGCAAATCCTTGTTCAGAGCCATTGAGGAGGTTCAGTGCAGTTCAACTGCTGGGAAGTTGACGTATTAGAGAAGTTGAGGAAGATGACACTGTTGACTATTTATGCCCATGTGGAGCTGCAACTGCAGGCGTCAGAGATTAGTCGGCATTTCTATTCACCAGGACCCCTTAAAGTCCTGCAGCTTAGCTCCCTTCTCATGACAACTGTCAGGGAGTGCTCCGTAGTCTCTGCAAGATACTTTCTCGAGGCCAAGATGAAGGTGGGGCAGAGGCTACATTGCGCAGGAACACCGTGGGCTGGAGGATGCGATTGGGAAGTGGTCCCTTGGACTTCAATTTGGAATCTTTTACGGAAGACAGTGTTGGAGGCAGAGCAAGGGTTCCTCCAAGAACCTACTCAACCTGTAGCTTTGCATTTTGTTTAACTTTAGTTTGGCCAACTCACGCTAGCAGCAAAGTCAGACAGTATGGTCTTTAAGCACTGTTGGCAAGCAACCCAGAGAAAATATGATTCTTAATCAGGACATCAGCATCCTCAAAGGTGCTGCTCTTTGTTAACCTCTCTTCCTCCCCCTCAGATGACTGGACTATGTGGTGGATTTAGTCATCTTCTAAACCTCCACTGATACAGTGCTGTACAGCACCCCCAGCCACAGTATTTACTGTCCATGCTTCAGATAAGGAAACTAAGTTCAGAAAAGTTCATTGGCACACTTAGTGGGTGGAAAAACTCCCCACTTTGCAAAGGGGTTGGCTCGTCTAACTGCCCGTGAACTTTAGAACAGTTATGGAAATAACAAAAGCCTTGTTTGGAGGGTTGGGGATGTTGCTCGGTGCATGCACAAGGCCCTGAGTTCAATCCCCAGTACCACACACACAAAAAAGTTTTGTTTTTTTGTCCACAGTTTGTGTGGTTTACGTTGGAAGATTTGATGATAGACTGGACTTACTGTTTTGTAGCAGTTGATGTCTGTATGCTGTGACAGTAACTTTTGGAGAGTGTTTAAAAGGTGCAAAATGATCTGCCTGAAAAGTTTCATTTCATAGCTGCTAAGGCAGAGTCTTAGGCCCCAGAAGAATAGAACTCAGATCTTTAGCTCTGTAAGAGGTATTCTAAATGTTGGATTTGAAAGTTAGATTTAATTGACTTTATTAATTTAGGATACATTTCCTTAAATTCACAAATAACTCCATATGCTTTCTCTGGAATTGAATGTCTTCTAATTTACCTTCCTCTTACTCTCTCCCGAATCTTGAACTTTCTCTATCATTCTTTTGTGTTACACACTTAAACAGAGGCTCCCATTTTCTCACCTGTGGGTACAACTAAAAAACATACACGGGCTGGGGATGTAGCTCAGCAGCACAGCACCTACCTGGCAAACGTGAGGTCACGAGTTTCATTTCCGGTACCAAAAAAAAAATAAAATAAAAAGCATACATATTTATTAGAGTTTAGGGTCACGGTTACAAAAAGTAATGGGGGGGGGACGCAGTTTTGTAATTTTTTCTATACATTTTTTGGTATCATTAAGAAGTGAGGGCCAAATTTTATCGTTGTAAGCCCCAAACTAAAAATAAAGTACATTTTTAACTGTTGTATCTTACATTTATCCACTAAAAAAAAAAAAGGTTCACTGGGGACGCTGTCCAACGTAAGGGGACTGTTCAAATTCTCCCTGTTGTCACATCATTATTCTGCCAGATATTAAACTGAGTTTTAGTGTCATGGTGCCCCAAGGACTGGGACCCTTTGGGGATTGTTGGCTCCCGCACTGAGCAAACCCCCATAACTCTGGAATTTTAGTCCCTGTTTTAGGGTTCTTCAGAAAAACAGAAACAATTGCAGCTTGGCAAGTCCAAAATCTGCAGGATAGGCCGAGACCTGGAGGAGGAAGGCAGTTCAAATCCAAAAGCATTCTGCTATCTGGAGTCCTTCTTCTTCTGGGGAGATCAGTCTTTTTTCTTTTCAGGCCTTTGACTGATTGGATGAGGCCCACCCATATGATTGAGGGTTATCTGCTTTACCCACAGTGTACTGATTTAAATGCTAATACCTAAAAAAACTTCACAGAAACTGTAAGAATAATATTTGACCAAAATCTGCCTGGATCCATATCCTAGCCACGTTGACACATAAAATTAACCATCACAGTTCCTCTATTTTTTGTTTTTTCATAGTTTTCCTGTCTCATGCTTTGGGGTCAAGCTGATTACACTTTATGCTGCTGAAGAAGTAGCTTGCCAGAACAGCACATTCCGTGCTTCCTTTGTCACACTGTACACTGAGAAATCAGAAAACCCAGTTTATTCAAATTCCTTTTAAAGTAAGAGTCAGCATAAAGCTGACAGGGGCTCACGTTCTAAAGAAAATTCGTGTGTTTTATTAAAGAGTTTTATAGCATTCGTTACTGCTCCATCGTTTCATTTGGCTTTGAAATAAAGTCTCACTATGTTGCCCAAGATGCCTCAAAGTCGAAATCTTCCTGCCTCAGTCTCCAAGTAGCTGGGATTATAGATGTGTGCCCCTGTGCCCAGCTTCCTCTGTGACTTTTTGACTAATGGTTTATCAATTGTAGTTGAGCCAGCGAGACTTCTGACTCCCAAATAAGTGGGGTCACCAGTCTCCTCAAGAATACCTAAGGATGATGCTCCACCTGCAGCACGGTGAAGATCAGGAGCACTACTGTTTGCGTTCCCACTGATTTTATTTATTTTTTGGAGAAGGGGAACCAGGGATCGAACTCGACCTCACACTTACCAGGCAGGCACTGTGCCACTGTGCTAACCCCCCACCCACACTGATTTTAAATCCTCTCAGTTTTTTCTTCCTTTTTAATTTAGTATGGTTTTTTTTTACTGCCCAACGTTGTTTCAAGTTTCATTTCCAAGAAAAACTAGAGGTTTTGTATAGGTTTGTCAACCTTTATTTTGTTTAATTAGGTTTTAAAAGATTTTAAATTCTTACTGCATTGGGGTCAGGACCAAAGGGAAACAGGCCCTCCTCCTCACTCCCTGGGGCCACCTTTGTGATGTGACACTCCAACCCCTTCTCACAGGCTCTCCTCCTCCCGCCTCTGGCAGGCCCCCAGGACTGTCGTGCCAGACCGTAAAGAAACTGGTGCAGAGGCATAGCCGGGCTGCGGCTGGGGCTTACGCCTTTGGGAGGAACTCTTTTGCAAGGGGCACTGTGTGCATTCAAGTCTTCCTTAGGCGACAGCGCACCTTGTATTTGGTACTCACGCATCACACGGGTCTCTCCGCAGACGGAGTGCTGAACATGAGCATCCCCATCGTGCTGCCCATCTCTGCAGATGACAAGGCGCGGCTGGAAGGGTGCAGCGAGTTTGTCCTCGTGTACGCTGGACGGAGGGTGGCTATTTTATGTGACCCTGAATTCTATGAGCACAGGAAGGAGGAACGCTGTTGCCGTGTGTGGGGGACGTCATCTACGAAACACCCCCATATCAAAGTAAGTGGCAGAACCTTTGGAAGGGCTTTCTTGATCTATTTCAAGTGAGGACAAGAATAATTCTTTTTAATTTCTTCATGGAGGACTTAGAAAAACAGGTTCAATAGAAGAATGCATTTCTAAGGTAAGTTTTGCAAGCCTGGGAGGTCTTTTTTTTTTTTTTTAAGTCATAAAGAAATGTTTTTCTGTTTGAAAGCTGATCTGAATGAGCTCTGGAGTCCTCAGATCCCGTGATGGCTGCAGGTAGGAAATTTAGTCTGACCTTGTGCATAGAGGACCAAAGCCATGGCTGTCACTATGCGCACAACTGCCGCTGGAGCTTACAGCCTGTTCATCTTGAAACTGCACAAGGGAAATAGTTTCACACACAGTGAGCCAAAGGAGCCACTGCAAAGCCAACTAGGAGTTCATGCTCTGTATCAAGACAGTAGTCAGTGACATATTTTCAGAAGACAAACATGAGCACGGATAGTGCCTGAATTCCCAGAGAAAAGATACTACACTTTCATAAGGATATTTTCAACAATGAAAAGTGCATTCAGCCAGGCATGGTGGCGCATGCCTGGAATCCCAGCTACTTGGGAGGATGGAAAGTTGGAGGGCAGCCTGTGCTACATAGTATGTTCAAGTCCAACCTAAGCTACATAGTGAGACTCTGTCTAAAAAAACACAAAAACTGTTCATTTAGGGTCTATCCTCCTTACTGGTCAAACAGAGTAAACGTCCTCAGATTGCTTTGCAGCTTGAGCTGCTCTTGGTGATGGTACAGGAGGGGATATTACGGGATCACTACCTATGGTTCATTTCCTCTAAGGAAATATGTGAAATTGTATCAAAAACTGTTCTTAATCCAAGAGAAGGGAATTAGAGTGGGAATGAAAATACACATATACTACTGGTTTGACTTCGCAAACGTCCCGCTTGGTCTAACTCTCAGCAAGTTCACAAGTATTACTGAAAGCAACTCAGGGCCCAGGAGCCCCTCGCCAGCCTGTGGTGGATAAGGCTTGTCATCTCCTTCACCTCAGCTTCTTCAGTGACAAACACAGGGAACAGACTCAAAATCAGACTAAGGTTTTTTCCAGCTCATGAGTCCCACAGAAAATTACGCTTTTGTTTGTTTGCTTTTCAGTTGTGAAATGTTCCAAGAAAGGAAAGACCTCTGACACCACCTTAATCTGAACCTAGAGTTCAGTTAGCCACAGTTATCTCACTCAAAATAAGCGCCTTGGTCTTAATGTGAATCCAGATAAAGTCAACTGTTCAGTTTTCTAGGTTTGTCAGACAGCCCTTGAAATCACTGGATAGTGGCTCAAAGCTGAGAAATATGTTTTTGGCTTCAGTTATATCTCTGATCATGTTTTTCTTGGTCATAATCATATGAGTTTGGGATTTTATCTTCTTTTAGTGACCCAAAGAATAACAGCCTTTCATTGTGCCACCTCGGATATTTCTCCACTTCGAGTCTAACTTACACAACCACATGACTTGCACCAAAGCTCTTAAGTGATCACTTCTTTCTCTTCATCTTGGCCTGCTGTGTAGGTCAGTAATTAGAGTCTATTCTTAGTACAAATATTCCTCACTTAATGACCTACCTGCTTAACAAGTTTGAGGCTTACTACCTACCCCTCTGACTTACAAGCTCTCTCTTTTTTTTCTTTGTATAGTTCTGTACATTTTGTTTATAGAGCCTCAATGTCTTTTTTCCGTACAGTACACCTTGTGTATACATTACTGGAATTCTTTTTTATTGTTGGGTTTTTGGTTTGGTTTTTCAAGACAAAGTCTCACTATATAGTTCAAGCTGGCCTTGAACTCACTGTGTAGCCCAGGCTGACCCTAAACTCACAGGGATCCTCTTACCTCAGCCTCCCAAGTGCTGAGATTACAGGTATATGTCACTATGCCCAGCCAGAACTATAATTCTTGCTGATTGTACTGTAACTGTACTTGCTGATTGTACAATAATTCTTGCTGCGTGTAGTTCTTGCCACAGTACAGTACTATAGTTTTATGTTGTCATACATTACAGTACTGCATGTAAGAGTTATGCAAATAAAAGCAAAGTCATCAAGTTGGAGTTTCCTTTGATTATTTCTTTGTTCTGAATATTGTAATGTACCTAGTATATACAATTCCTCATCTAGTTTTTTTTTTTGGTTTTTGTTTTTTTTTTTGGTTTTTCTCCGGTACCGGGAACCGAACTCACGACCTTGCGCTTGCCAGGAAGGCGCTTTTGCCGCTGAGCTAAATCCCCAGCCCCCAATTCCTCATCTAGTGACCAACTCATTTAACAACCTTGTCACAGGACCAGAACTCAGTCATTAAATGTGGAATGACTGAGTCAGGAGAGTGATGGCATGACTCGTGACTTTGACAGTACCACCAGTGACTCTGTGCCATCAGAGCGTTGGAGGGATGCTGTGAAGCTCCAGTGAGCTGATGGTGAGAAATGGGCCATGGACAGCTGGAGAAAGCCACTTACTCCACCCGCTGCATTTTCGTTGTTGAAGGTGCATGTACCAGAGAACATACGAGTTTTATTGGGAATAGGACTCTTCATTTTGGGTTTTTTAGCACCCTGAAACTCAAAGTCAGGCTTTAGTGGAAGTTTTTTAGAACCCACAGCCTTCCAAAAGTTGCTGCTCTCAGAAGTAATCACGGGCCTCCTTGTATTTCCTCGTGGCCCTGGGAACAGTATCTGCAGAAAGCGGTCACAGTTGCCGAGTTCCTGTCTGCCTCTGTCCCCCGCTCCTCACTGATGGCGCTTAACCGTCTGCTCAAGGACTCGCTTTTGAGTCACTGCCCCTGTGATATCATCTCAGATGTAATCATGAGGAGGAGCAGAGGAGACTTGAAAAATTATATAGTGCTTGGACGAACCCTACTCCTTTCATCCACGGCTCTCAAAGCTTTTCCAAGCAGTAATCACTTCTCACAGTGCTCTTGTTCACAAGTAGGTAGAAACATTACTCCCTGCTTTACAGATGTAGAAACTAAGAGAGTAAAATGTGACTTCCGTGAGGGGCAGGGATGAGGTTTTGAACCCTTTAGCTCCACAGTGAAGAAGCAGAAACACCTGGAGTTCAGTGAAGCAACAGAACTTGGACAGTCTGAGTCTGCAAGTTTTAAAGCTCCCCATAATTGACTATGAGAACCACTTCATTAGAGAAGTTTTTGGAGCTGTTTCCCATGTGGCTCCACCTGATATGTTTTGACACTAACATACTCCGACTCCAACTGCTGACCTACATTGAGAGGCAAGAGGAAGAGAAAGAGTCACCTAAGATCCCATCAGAGCTCCCTGTGCAAGTCATGTGAATGGATACGTTCGACTCTAAGGGTAGAAGTATCTGAGCTGGCATGATGGAAGGCTCTTGTTCTTGGATCACTAGGAAAAGATAAGCTCCAAATCTATACGATTATGATCAGGAAAGAAAATGATCAGATAAATAACGTAATTCTCAAACCACCTGACTCAACATCCAGTCAGCACTTTCAATCTCTACCCATTCCTGCTCAGCCGCTTGGGTCCTCTGTCTCACCAGTAGCCCCGCCATCCACACGGCAGCCTGTCACCAAAGCCAGGCTGTCATGCTCACTCTGTCTTCGCTTGTTGATACAATCACCACGTTCTGACAATTCTGCTGCCCAGGTATTACTTAACTTTTCACTCGTCTTCTGTCCCAACTTGGGTCATGTCGTTTCATTTCTTCCCTCTTATTCCCTCTAATCTATGACCCCGTCATCCGGAGTGAAGTGACCAGCTGCTGTTTGGGAACATTTTAGCAAAGACACGGTTTACCTCTTAGCCTTTAACCACTACGCATTTCCCCCTCTAGTCATTTCAGAACTGGCGATTAAGTCATCTCTGTCTTACTTTTGCATACGCTCAGCCCTCACTTAGGGCGCTGTTCCTTCCACTTCCACCTCTTCACCTTATTCCTTTTTCCCTCCTTTCAGAACTCAGCCCTAACCCCCTGACCCATAAGCATGACTAAATGCCCTTCTGTGACTTCCCAGAGCGCTGAGTACTTGTCCCGTCCACACCTGGGACAGGTAGTGCTGAGGGTGATGCTGAAATATCAGCACGGGGCAGGGGGCCTGATGAGAGAGGAGGTGCAAAGGGAAGAGGGTGGTTTTCATGAGTCCTGGACTTGGGTCCCGGCTTTGGTAGAACAACTATGCACCTGACCTCTGCCACTTCCTCTCTAAAACTATCTTCTCACCTGAAAATAATGACATGAAATCTACATCATCTCCAGGTACCATAAAGCTCCATGACTATGACAGATGTCACAGAAATGAATGTGTATGCTTCACTTGTGGTGTGTTAGTTTTTTAGTTTTATTTTTGTTAATCTCTTCTCTGAACCTACTGTTCCCCGCACCCCATTTGGGCTGCTTGCCCTTCTCTCCTCTTTCTTCATTCTGAGTTCCTCCCCTCCTCCATCAATTTGTGCATTCCTTCCTTCTTTCAAGATTGCTTCCTCCCCTCCCCTCGCCTAAGCCTGTCCGGTTTACTGTAGCTTCCTTCCGTCTTCATGCTCCGTTTGAGTTCGTTGTCTCCTCTCTTTGCATTCTTGTTGTCTGTGATTCCAGACCCAATTCCTCTTTCTCTGCTCCACCAGACTCCCTAAGTCTGTTCCTCATTCCTCCCGCTGCATCCAGTTCTATAAATCCCCAGGGAGTGGCCCTTCTGCCCGTGGCAGGAAGGACTTACCCTCGTTCTTGATAGCTGGACGTAGCTCTGGGGACAGGCAGAACACCTAGGAGAGAGAGCTGCCCTTGCAAAGCTGTTTCTCTCCATCTCGGAAATGTCACAAGCAGAGTTTCAACGTTGCTTTTCAAACGAACTTGCTTTCAGGCTCGGTGGTGAGGAAGTTGGTGTGGCGCTGCCTTCACCAATAGACCCAGCAACACAGTGTAGGGCGGACCCCTAGCGTCCACAATGAGTAACTGCACCCTGGCAAGGACGGGTGGGGGGGTCTTACGCTTTCAAAATTATCTGTGGTCTAACTGTAAGTGATGAGGACAAAGTTATGTATGCATGTGGGTATTTGAAAACATCCTTGTCCAGTAATTTGCCTGAGCAAGAGTTTAGAAAGGGGGCCATAAACACAAAACCAAATCCTTTGCACAACTTCCCTGTGTCTGCCCTGGGTTCCTCAACCTCAGCATGATTGACATTTTGGCCTAGATAATTCTTTATTCCGGGGCTTTCCTGTGCAGTGTAGGATAAGTAGAGGCACCGGTGGTCTCCACACACTAGATGCCAATAAAACACATACCTGCACCAGCTGTGACAATCACAGCTTTCTGCAGCTATTGTCAAGTGTCACTGGGAGAGGTAACACCCTCTGTTACAAGGCACCACTCTCCCAGCCTCCCACTTCCTCAGCCCCTCTGGCTGCAGGTCACTGTGAACCCTGCATTCGAGCCATGCTGGGGGAAGCCGAGCCAAAGTTTCATTGCTAGTTCTTCGGGCCTTTGTACCAGGTGTTCGGAATCCGTCAGCTTCCTCTCGCTCACGCTTCCTCCCTCTTCTGCATTCACAGCTCATGGGGCCGCACTGTCCTCACACAAATGGAATTATGCAGTATTTGTTTGTGGCTGACTTATCTCAATATATCTGCTCAAGGTACATCCTTGTTGTAGCATTTGATGGGGTTTCCCTTTTAAAGACTGAATGACATGCCAGTGTTTTCTGCGCCACCTTTTATTTATCCATTCAGCTGTTGATGGACATTTGGTTCATTTCCGTCTCTTAGCTATTGCCAATAGGTGCTAGGAACATGGGTGAGCAAATCTCTCTCTCTCTTTTGTCTTTGGAGACAGGGTCTCACTATGTAGTTCAGGCTGGTCTTGAACTCACTGTGTAGCCCAGGTTGGCCTCAAACGTGTGCCAATCTTCCTGCCTCAGTCTGCTTAGTGCTGGCATCACAGGCATGCACCACCACCCCCAGCCAGAAGTAGGACTACTGGGTCATATGGCGGTTCTATTTTCAATTTTTTTTCAAGAACCTCCATATTGTTTTCCATAATGGCTGCGCCTTTCACTGTCCCAACGCACAAAGGTTCCAATTTCTCCACACCCTTGCCAATACTTGCTATCTCCTGTGTTTTGATAATAGCACCCTAATGAGTGTGAGAAACCTCACTGGGGTTTGGGATTGCATTTTTCTTGTAATAGTCACAAACAGAATTAGACAAGAACTGAATCAAATTCAATGATTAGGTTCAACGTTGACTTTATGGGGAAATTTGATTCAGTTCTCATCGTTTGATTTGTGCCCAGAATCGTGGAGAGAATTAAGTTTGTGAAGTGAGGTTCCACTGTATGTCCATTCAAATCCTTTGCCAATTTTTAAATCAGGTGATTTGTCATTGAACTATCAGAGTACGTTATGTTCTGGATATTAGACCCTTACCAGATCTTATGATTTGCAAATACTTTCTCCCACTTGATAGGTTGCCTTTTCATTCTGTAGACTGTGTCTTTTCATACATACATGCTTTAAGATTTGAAGTAGTCCCATTTGTCTATTTTTGCTTTTGTTGCCTGTGCTTTGGGGCCATATTCACAAGTCAATGTCATGGATCTTTTACCCCTATATGTTTTGTTTTGGTACCAGGATCCAAACTGAGGACCTCACACTTGCCAGGCAGGTGCTGTACCACTGAGCTCTATCCCTGGCCCTACCCGTATATTTTTTCATAAGAGTTTTATAGTTTTAAGATCCTATATTTATATCTTTAATCTACTTGGAGTTAACTTTTCCATATGATGTAAGAAGAGTCTAGCTTTATTCTTTTCAATGTGAGAATCTAGTTTCCCCGATACATGTGTCGAAGATAATCTTCCACACATACCAAGATCATTTGAGAAAAACAGGATTAGCTAATAGGTGTGGATTTTGGTACTCTTTGGAGATTTTTTTATTTTAAAGTAGATATAAGTAAAGAAGGCTGTATCTTTTGAGAATTTTGTTTATTTATTTATTTATTTTGGTCTCTTTGAGACAGGGTCTCGCTATGCAGTTCAGGCTGACCTTGAGCTCACTTTGTAGCCCAGGCTGGCCTTGAACTAGCAATGATCTTCCTGCCTCAGCCTCCCAAGTGCTGGGATTACAGGTGTGCGCCACCATGCCTGGCTTTTTGAGAATTTTAATAGAAACTGTGCCCCAAAATAATTAACTGGTAGAAAACTAACTTGTCTGAATTTTTCCCCAAGTCCTCTATTTGGAGTCCCGATTCATAAGATCTAAGATACATTAGACTATGTTAGGAATGTGCTAGCAGCCATTCCAGAAGATGGATCACAGAAACCTTGTAAGAACCTATGACCTATCCAGAGACTCTCCATGCTTGAAACTATGCTAATGATACTAAGACATTATTTGCATTTTTCACTCTCTTGACCTTTACACAGCCAGTATAAAAAGTAAGGGTGAGTAAGACTGCGGCACCTTTGACCTGAGATATGAGAAATAACTCTGTGTGGCCACTTTCCTCTCAACACTAGAAACTTGTAGTAAGAAAAATGCCAACTTCAGGGGCTGGGGATTTAGCTCAGCGGCAAAGCGCCTGCCTGGCAAACGCAAGGTCGTGAGTTCGGTTCCCGGTACCGGAGAAAAACCAAAAAAAAAAAAAGAAAAAGAAAAATGCCAACTTCACTGGAGAAGGATTCTTGATAAAGCTGTAAAAAAGTTATCTTGATCCTTGAGTTCATGTCTTTTTCATATCCTGCTACAAAAGAAGGAGTCCACATTGATGTGCTTGAAAAGTATATATATACATATATATATATAAAGTACTTGTGTCATTGAGCTGGAGCAAAGCTAGCCACATTTCCCCCTCCATGAAATTTCATTTTTACTTGAAAGAGTGGATGGCGATGCATGGTTATTTAGACTTGGCTATTCAGCAAGTATTTTTTTCAAAATGAACAAAGTCCTTTCATTTCTACAAAGACAACTGAGAATATTACTTCCCAGTGATTAGCCTTGAAGTCTCACTATGCGTAAGTTTCAGGTTTCGGTACAGCTTGCATTTAGGAGACTAGCACGCATTGTATTTTGGTGTAGTATTTAAGAAAAATTATATAAAAAGGTTATTGAAATCTTTCCTTTTTCAACTACCCCTCTGTAGTTTGGTTTTCTTTACCTACTTCAGCCAAAACAAGATACTGTCATAGATTAAATGCAGAAGTAGGTATGAAAATCCAGCTGTCTTCTAGTGTCAGATTTGCAAGCAGGTAAACCATGCTCTACCTATTTGGGGGAGGAGGAGTAGGAATGTACTTTTTGCACTAAAAAAATTTATTTATGTTAATGGGTAATAGACATTAATGTCATTTTGAATAAATTAACAAGTTTTAAAATAGTCCCCATTGTAATCTTTAGTGTGAAAATAATTATAGATATAACTTACATTAAACAAAACCTCTTGGGGGGGTCTCAGTAATTTTTAAGAACATACAGAAGTCAAGAGACCAAAAGTTTGAGGAATGTGGGGCTAGAAATGTGGAAGAACTGAAGGCAGTTCCTCAACAGTAACCCGAGACCGGTGGGAAAGGAAGAGAGAAATTTTCAGATAAAACAGAAATCATGTGATTCGTTACCAATGTTAATCACATTCTTCCCAGATGGTGATGGAAAGTGGAGACTGGCTGGTTGGCGGAGACCTTCGGGTACTGGAGAGAATAAGGTGGAACGATGGGCTGGACCAGTACCGCCTGACGCCCCTGGAGCTCAAACAGAAATGTAGAGAAATGAATGCTGGTATGCAGGCTGCCTGGAGGGCGTTCATCAATACTCTCTGATTAAAGAATTAAGGATGTGAATCAGTATTTTTTTAGAAATGAAAACATCTATTGTTATATCTCTGATATAAACAGTTTAAAGTTATACTACATTCATATCCTGGAACATATGCAGCAGTTATAAATACAGACACAGAAAGACACCTAAAGGTATTTATTAAGTGAAAAGCAATGCACAGAACAATATGGATAGTAAAATCATATTTTGTTTGTTTTTTGGTGTTTTTGAGACAGGGTCTCACTCTGCAGTTCAGGCTGGCCTTGAGCTCGCTTTGTAGCCCAGGCTGGTCTCGAACTCACGAGGATCCTCCTGCTTCAGTCTCCTGAGTGCTGGGATTATAGGCATGCGCCACCATGCCCAGCTGAAATCATATTTTGGAAAACTAAATAAAAGTCTGTAGTAGCTTGTGCACCAAACCGCAAAAGACAGAAGCTACCTCTTGGGGAAGGAGTTGGGATGAGCAGAAAGGGAAGATTTTTCATTCTTTATATATTTGAAAGAGAGATAATGTAGTGATAGCAATACTGGTGATTTTCATGTTCTATCTTGGGATTTGATGTATTCTCCAAGTTTTCTGTAGTAAATATATACGAATTATACTTCAAAATCAGAAGAAGATTAAAGCTCTCAGGAGTTCATCACCAAGTGGAGCAGTGGTTTTTTGTTTTTACCATACTAGGGATTGCACCCAGGGGCTCTGTACTGCGCTGCATCCCCAGACCTTTTTATTTTTTTATTTTTTGTTTGTTTGCTTTATTTATCTTTTTGAGACAGGCTCTTGCTAGGCTCAGGCTGGCTTTATACTCACTGTGTAGCCCAGGCTGGCCTCAAACTCATGGTGATCCCCCTGCCTCAGCCTCCTGAGTGCTGAAATTACAGGCATGTGCCACCACGCTTGGCCCTATTTTTCATTTTGAGACAAGGTCTCACTAAGTTACCTTCGCCAAGCTTGATCTTGTGGTCCTCCTGCCTCAGCCTCTCAGAGTGCTGGGATTACAGGAGTGTGTCCATGCCCAATTTAAATAGAAAAGATTTAAAGATTTCTTTAAAGTGAAGCTTTGTATCTTGAGATTTATATCTGTAGACTGTTGTCCTGTTTAGGGGCCCCAGAAAGCACTCCCATGATTCTTCATCCCCTGGTGACCCAAGACCAGAGTGAAGCACAAGGGAACTGATTCACGCTGACCATCCCGAAACCTTCGTTTACAGCAAAGATCTGTAAACAGCTGCTTTCATCCTGTTTCAGCTTCCTGCCTCTGTACTTTACCCTGCAAGTGCGAGCTAGCATTGGTCAGTGGTGTTAACATCCCCAAAGGCCCACATATATTCTCCAGCTGACCATTAGAAGCCAGTGGGCTTAATGAACACCCAGAACAATAAACGTGTCATCTTTTTTCTCTGTTCTTGTGGACAGACAACACTGCGTGTCTCTGACCTTGGCTTTTCTTTCCTAGATGCGGTGTTTGCGTTCCAGTTGCGCAATCCTGTCCACAACGGCCATGCCCTGTTGATGCAGGACACCCACCGGCGGCTCCTGGAGAGGGGCTACCAGCACCCGGTGCTCCTGCTGCACCCTCTGGGGGGCTGGACCAAGGACGACGATGTGCCTCTGGACTGGCGGATGAAGCAGCATGCAGCTGTGCTCGAGGAGAGGGTCCTGGATCCCAAGTCCACCATCGTTGCCATCTTTCCATCTCCCATGCTATATGCTGGCCCCACAGAGGTGAGCAATTTCCTGAGCTGTACTGTCAGACTCAGGATGCAGGCTCAAACTTTAGACTGAATGAGAGTCTGGGACGCTTTCTTCTGCATGAGCAGATTTTTCTCTCTTTTTTATCCAATTTAATGCTTCCATTTTGTATTGGTAAAAAATGCTAGAAATATCCAAGTCAAACCTATTGTATGTGGACCTGAGGCTATGGCGGTTAACACGTAATGAGATGGATCACAAAGCTTACCTGGGTTGCAGGGCAAGTTGTATCTAACCTAATATTCAATGTCATTAGTTCCAGTTTCTCTATGCCAGTGGTGGCGAACATACGGCACATGTGCCACAGCAATACACAGAGCCCTCACTGTTGGCATGCGTGCCAAGTTGCCCAGCAGCTGAGTAGTAGATAACAGTTGCTTTTTCTGAACTAAAACATCACTATTCAGATTTAATTGCAGGGTTCACACTTTGTGATGAGTGGGTTATGGCTTGCAGTTTGGGCCGTGGGTCTCTAAAAGGCTTACTTCACTGCTCTATTCCATTCACAGTGCCCTGTGATTGTGTTCGAGAGGAGACGCTGTCTTTAAAAGATAGAGATCTCCCTTTCATCATAATACAGGAGGCCATCAAATAGATTTTCTTTATCCCACCGCACTAGCAGAGTAGTGGGTTTGAAGGAGTTTCCAGGAAGTATGATGAATGGAAAGGGTCTTAACCCTTTGGCATAACCCAAACTGAGTCTAATGAATTAATTCTATTCAGTCATGTCGAAGTCCCAGGCCCCTAGCTGTCCTTTCCGTCCTTTGTATTTCTGAGTTTTAAGGCAAGTGTCATGTTGAATGGAATCAGTGTCTGAATATGAAAGGTGATTAGCTCATTACTGGCAGTCAGATGAGGTGTGGACTTGTAATTTCATTTAAATTGTGATATATCAGAGTAGGGCGGGAATGGAAAATTTAAAAAATAATCAGTATGGTAGAGCAGTAAAAGCTAAGTATTTCTGGTGTGGTAGCCTGTCTGGAGATGAAGAAATATAACCACAAGCTCTAAGAGGATTCGTACAAAGTGTACCTTTAAACTCCCGCCCTAAGCAACATAACTAAGTCTGAAGAAGAGACTGTGAAGCCCTAGGACTTGCTGACTTTCTTGCAACTTTCAGTCTACCTGTTACTGTATTACTGTTCAAGCAGAATTAGTCTGTGTAAACACAAACCCACAGACTTGGCTCACCGTGGCCCTTATGTGATGTTTCCTAGGTCCAGTGGCACTGCAGGTGCCGGATGATGGCAGGTGCCAATTTCTACATTGTGGGCAGGGATCCCGCAGGAATGCCCCACCCTGAGACCAAGAAGGACCTGTACGAACCCACTCACGGAGGCAAGGTCTTGAGCATGGCGCCAGGCCTCACCTCTGTGGAAATCGTTCCATTCCGAGTGGCTGCCTACAACAAAGCCAAAAAGGCCATGGACTTCTATGATCCAGAAAGGTAAGTTTTTTGAAGAAAATTATCTAATCAACATCTTTACAGCTGGAATGAGGAGCAAAATTTTCGTCCTTCACAAAACTCCCCAGTGTATTTCCACATACTCCCAATTGGAATCAGTCTCTTGAGAGTCACAATTGGTCTTATACATTTTGTATGTAGCACAGACCCCTATACACAGAAGATGATCAATAATATTTCCTTTAGGAATGGGAATGTATCTCAGTGGCAGTGTTTGCATAGCCCCAGGGTATCAAAAATATATATATATATATATATATCTTCTCAACGTGCACTAAACAAAAGGAAGTAACAACCACAAAAGATTTCAGTGAGTATCTGTGGCACACTTCCTTCCGGGCTGTGAGTTCATGGAAGTAGGCGAAAAGAGAAGTTACTTCCAGTGACAGAGTACGTGCAAAGAAAATATTGACTATATAGCTGCTAAAGGGAACTAACGTTCCCTTTTCTCCTGCAAATTCCTGCCCATCTTGAAAGACATACGATTTTACAGAAAAAAATGTGGATCTAAAACCTCATAACCTAACTCCAGGAATCCTTAAGACGATGTTCTTTGCCTACACTGAGTTCTTTGTTGCTATACTGTGACAGGCACAATGAGTTCGACTTCATCTCAGGAACTCGGATGAGGAAGCTCGCCAGGGAAGGAGAGAACCCCCCAGATGGTTTCATGGCCCCCAAAGCATGGAAAGTGCTGACGGATTATTACAGGTCCCTGGAGAAGATCAACTAGATGCTCTTTTGCTCCAAAGTTTCTTCCTGAAGTGCTCTTTGATTACCTTTTCTATTTTTGTGATTAGATGCTTTGTATCCAGCTGTTTCTAAGTGACTGATTTTAAAGTTAGTATTTTATGAGGTAGAAATTGTGCCTATAATTTAAAGTCAACTTCATATACATATGAAGATAAAAAAATCTTACCAAGTGGAAGCAACATTGTTATACATTTCAGAGTGAAATCAGCAAACTGTCTACTGCATCTGTGCAGGTAGGTCCCAGGTTTCTTAAATCTTTGACCCTGAGCCACTTACATGTCAACTACAGCAGCATATTTTCCAGCCTAACCTTGCCAACCTGCAACCTGAATATCATATCCTAGTAGTAAAATGAATAGATGCACTCCTCCTCTTTCCCGCACACTGCCCTCCCCCATCAACCTAAATGAGATGTGAGTCACATCAAAATTCCTGTCATCTTTTACCTCATAACTACATACTGCCTTACTGCCGAATCACCGAAGTGCTGAGGACCTGACTGGAGAAACCAAATGTGTGATAATGTTCATTTAATCTTAGAGATCTATGCAGCCTGCCATGAAAAAGTTATAGTGTCTGGTAAGAAGTCTTCAGGGCCTTCTATAAATAAGTCCAATATGGTGACTTTTAATAGTGTTTTAATGAAAGGATTTGTTCCAAGGGATCAAACAATCCTGCTACCTTGAGGAAGGCTATTTTTTGCCCTCTTTGCTGTGGTCATTATATATTAGACAGTCCGGGCCTGTTCCCCTGCAGCAGCAGCAACTGTTGCCATAAAGAATCCACACCATGGGGCTGGGGATTTAGCTCAGCGGCACAGTGCCTGCCTGGCAAGCGCAAGGTCGTGAGTTCGATTCCTGCTACCAGAAAAAAAATAAAAAAAAAAAAAAAAAAAAAAAAAAAAAAAAGAATCCACACCATGAGACCGCTAGAAGGTACTAGAACAGGAAGACCGCAAAAATACAGAACTCAAACCTTTCGTCTTAGAGGTGAACTAAGGTGCACACGAAAGTGCTCCATGAGCTGCAGAACACCGTAACAAAAGCACGAACGCATTGGGAAGTACTGGCGGCCCCGAGTGAGTGCGCAGCCCTCTTGGCCCTGGTGCTGAAGCTCCTGGGTCATGGGCCTCTTAAAAAGCCGTCTTCTTGCTTATAGAAATGTCTGAATTTTTCTAAACTTCCCTGATATTTTACTGCAGCTGAAAATGCTTTTCCAAGGACTTGAGCTGTTCTGAGAAATCTTGAGATGCCTCTCCCTTCTGAGAGGTAATCTTTGTATGTTATGCATAATTCACTGTTGCCAGCAAATGTATGAAGAAACAGCACCTTTTATATATAATGTCACTCTGGAAGGGGACCTAAACTGGAAAGAGAAAATTGTGATATGTTTCATATTGTTCATCCTTTTTAAAATGCTAGTCTTAGCTAATTAATAATTGTTCTGAGAATAAATTACACGGAATGGCCACAACAAAGTGTGTCCTTTAGTACCAATATTCATTCACAGAGGTACTCACTATCGCCTCTTGAAAAGCAGCATATTTATTGGAAATAGCAGGCGGGATGTCGTGCCTTAGCCATACGTATTTTTAAAAATATATTTACAACTGCTCTTCTGTTCTACTATGATTTGATGCAATGACTATTTCTGTGTACAACTGATGCTTGCCCTTACTTTAATAAATTTCTCAAAATAAAGGCTGAGTCGTTTTGCCTGCAACACCCATACGGACTGACCACATGACTGTCATGGGCTGTGTGCTTTTCTCCAGCTGGGGAGAGACAGCAACGGCCTCTCTTTAAGACCATAATTAAGTGCCCTCACCCGTGTCATTTTCTACCTCGTGCTCTAGATATGACACGGTAATTTTTTTCAGAGGTGATGGGCTGTTCAGGGCCTCTGTCCAATTCACCACAGGAAGATCCTACTTTGATAAATGAAGCTGTCTTCCTTGCTTTTTTAAAAAATTTTTCCCCCGGTACCGGGAATCAAACTCACAACATTGCGCTTGCCAGCCAGGCGCTATGCCACTGAACTAAATCCCCAGCCCCTATTTTCCTCGCTTTTTCTCTCACAGGAACAGATCTCATTCTCAAAGTGTCCCCAAACCTTTCACTAGCAAGACTAGGAGTAGCTGCAGGTGTTTAGTTTTCCTCGGCTATTTCCACAACTCTACAAACCTCAGCAGCCTTTGTGTTCATGAAGGTGTCACGTTTCACTCATGCTTTCTGTGGCCATGGGCTTGCAGCTTTCTGCGTCGTTGATTCACTTTTGTCCTGAAAGGACATGCAAAGCTTTGCTGATTCTCTTCCCAAATTAAAACAGGTGCAACACCCACTTGAAGCCTCTCCCCTCCTGTCCCTAGATCTTACCGGATGGTTCCTAGCGCCAATTAGCAGGACAAAATTGGTGAGGGAAATGTAAGGTATAAACTGTACTGAAAGAGTATATCAAACCCTGCAGTGTGAAAAAACCTTAGAAAGATACATGTAAATCATTTGGTTGGATGATAGCAAGTCTTATACCAACACTCTCTTCAGTCCACAATATTTCTTTCCAACCCATCATCCTTGCAAGGAGCAACACTGGAGAACACCGCACCGCGTTCATTGTTTTTTCATCTTTCTCCTTTCTATGATGTACCTTTAGGTCTATTATTGATCTGCAATGTAACTGTCCTTATAGGCAGGAGTGCAGGAAATTAGAGGGGCACCTGATGTCTGATCAAGGGCTTTTATGTCTAAAGGTTTGGTGGAATAACAGCGCAGTTTTTGCCTATGACTTTTTTGATTAAGGTTTCCATTACCTATTAATAGGCATGATTATATATTGAAGTAAAAGCCCCTAATTTTCCCACCCCTGGCATATTTAACTCTTTGGTAAAGGCTATTATTGGGCCATTGACAGGACACACTCACCGAATGATGGAAATGGTGCACAAGCAACTCACAATATGCATTCCAAAGCACTTCCTTTTTGGCTTACAGTGATTTTATTGAAAGTAAATGGGTCACCTGCTAGAGTGGACATTTTAGTCTGATACTTCTCTATGCAGTTAGCAAAACAGTGGGTGCAAGAAATTCTTCATGAACTGGCTTTTAGAGAAAAGCCCTTCAGAGATAAGCAGAGTCCTTCTTGGCAGGTTTTATTACTTGGCAGGTTTTATTACTGTCGGTGAGCTTCTGGGTATGGACACCATCACGATGAAAAGGCTGCTAGATGTGTAAGTAGGAGTGTGCCTAAAACCAATTAATTCTGCCTAATTAAAGCTACAGCCTAGATCCAGCACAAGTAGGTCTAACAGGTCTGAGGGAAGGGCTTGTAACCCTGAAAATAAACAAAAACTAGTGTTATACTTCAGTTCCCATCTTTCTTTTCTAGTCATTATCTGGAATAAAATTTTAAAATTACAAATAAAAAAATTATCCATTGTATCAGTCAGCTGTCCCATTGCTGGGATAAAAATATCTGAAACCTGAAATTGAAAGGAGGGGAGGTTTATTTGGCTCATAGGTTCAGAGGTTTAGTCCATGGTCAACTGACTCCAGGGCAGGAACATCACGGTAGAAGGGCCTGGTAGAGCAAAGGTGCTCATCTCATGACAGCTGGGAAGACCACCACACGGGAAGAGCCTGAGAAGCAGGGGCCCAGGACCACACACAGTATCCACGTTCGCAGCACCATGATGTACTTTCTCACACAGGCCCCGCCTCGTTACAGCCCATTCAACTATGAACCCTTCAACGGGGAAAGCCACTGCTGAGGTTAGTGCACTTACAATCCAGTCTCCTCTGAGTTTCTTCACCCAGTCCCTCCTCTCCTGGGGTCTTAATCCAGTCAAACAGACAAGGAGAATTAACCAACACACCCCTCAGGAGTGCTGGGCATGCTAAGAAGCGCTTCCCATCAAGTGGAAGCAGAATTTATGGAATTCAATCAAGCAGTCCCTGCAGCCTATAGGCCTGTTGGCAAACCATGGATATGTGTGCTCACACTTCCAGCACGCCCACTTGTTACAATACTGTCTTTAGCAAGTACCTGTGGTTTCAGTGGCACACTGACCATGAGAATTTTTGTGTCCAGCACCATTCCCATAATGCCACTTCCTTTGAATGAATGCCTCTCTCTTTTTGCATGAATTGGTAAACTCAGATATGTGACAAAAAGTATAGGGAATATTTTAAATATTTTAAACTACTACAGTAAATGGCACATCGCCACCAATCTTCCTCAAAATATGCCTTCTCACACCTCACAAACCTACCCTCTTGCCCCTTTCCAAAGCAATGCTGCAAGTCTTCTCTCTTGTCTTTAGCTATGCTGTTACGGCAGCCTTGCTGTCCTGCATCAGTGCCCAACTTTTATCTTTCGCAGTCATTCTGACTTTGGTGAAGACTTTTGACAGAAATTGCCATACCAGAATCAATAGAATACAGATCATCATAATGAGAGGCATGAAACCCATTTCTCAGGCCATCTTCCATGTGTGTTATTGCTGGAACTGATGCATTCTCAGAATGTGCTATAGGTGCCCGTGTGTCCTCGTCTCAGATCCAAGTCCGCATGTCAGTGATGACTTCACTGTTTTGGCTTTCACTTTAAACCTCTGCTCTTAATGTATTCTGGATTCAGCACTAACACCTACCAGAACCTGCTGCAGTACACAAGAGTTCACAGGCAGGTTTACGTAAACATTAGACAATCATTAACAAAATACTCCTGCCGGTCGTGGTGGCGGATGCCTGTAATCCTAGCACTCAGGAGGCTGAGGCAGAAGTGGTGAGAATTTGAGGCCAGCCTGGGCTACAAGGTGAGTTCAAGACCAGCCTGAACTGCACAGTGAGACCCTGTCTCAAAAAAGACAAAAAAGGGGCTGGGGATTTAGCTCAGCGGCAA